ACCTATTACTCCTTATTAAGGTGTGCTCTCTGGGCTCTGATTCTTTCTCACTCCCTACTTCTCAGGAAAGGAAAGGGGGGGGAAAAAAAAGACGTTTCACTTGCTTCGCCTTCCTGAATTCCTTGCGCTCCTTCTTGTCTGCATCCCCTCTGAAACTCACTAAATCAAAGGTACGTTCCTAGATCTGTTGCTCACACTGTTCACAGCCTTGTAGTTAAAAGTTCTCTTGTTTGTAACCAAAGCGTCAGTGGAGAGATGGCTGTTTTCCTGCTTGAAGGCAGAGTGTTCCTATCTTTCAAAAATGTTCTTCGAAGCCCTTCAGAAATCCCAGTAAGGAAACAAGACAAAAGGGTCACCGGGACACTATATGTTCAAGATAAAAGAGACCCTGACTCCTCACTCTGTGTCGTCCTTTGGCTGCCACATAGGTTTCCCCCCACCCCACCACTGGGCCATGAGATGACTTAGGAGGTGACTCCTGAGAAAGTACTCGAAAATGCAATCAGAAAGACTTGCAGCAATACAGGGATTTCCCCCCACACCTTTGCTTCGATTCCTGGGCCTCCCTCATGTCTGTGTTGAAGTATCAGGAGATTATGACCTCATTTTTTTTTTTTTTAAATGCTAGAAAGAGGAAGATAGTGCTTCCAAAACTGAGATGGGGAAGTAAATGAGAAACATTAGGATATACAGAAATCCTATTGTCAGCAAAAAGAAGGCTATTCATCGCTGTTAAGGATCCTTCTTTCCTTCCTCATACACCATAACTGGGTTGACACCCTAAGGCTAACAAGTTACAACTCAGCACCACTATTAAGCAAGCTCAACACTCAGGCATCAAAACTCTGTTGGAAATCACACACACCCCATCAACCCTCAGGAACAAAAAAGGGAACATGTTGATCCTTGGGGTGTGTGGGTTTGAGGTGGCACCCTGGTTTAGAAAGTTAATCAACAAGCGACTTGTTTTCCAGGCTGTCAACAATATTGATTGAATTATCAGGAGTAGGCAGGGTAGGACTCTCACCAAAATAATTTTAAAAATTCAAAACTGTGTCTTCTGGGAGAACTTTTAGTTTGATGGGTATGAAAGTGTACATAGATATGAAACATCAAAATGTTTAGGAAGAAATACATGAGCCAAGTGCGTGGTATGTAGCTACATAAATTCTGAGGGGCAAGGAGGAGAGGTGGGTAGAAATAGACCAGGATGTTGTTGATTCAGGGCGTGTTAGAGAAAAGGGAATGCTGGTATTTATTTGGGCACATCTGTGAAGGGCTGAATTTTTTGAGCTTTTAAAAATCTTCAAGCAATTCTCTCTTGCTCTAAGTTTCTCTCTTGGGCTCAGTTTTTTTTCTTTCTTTCCCAGTTTGCAGAACTCAGTACAGACCACTTGTTTGCGCTGTGCTGTGCTTGGGTTCCCTTCGGGGCCAAAAAACAATTTAGCCTTGGCAGTAAGCAGCTGCTGGCCAGGCCCCTGGCCAAGGCGTGTTCTGAAACGAAGCCCTCTTGGAAAGAGTTGTTTACGACCTTTCACCTTATAACCCGGTATTCTGATTAAAATCTGCTCCCTGAGTCTTCTTTCTCAGTTCCTGCATCAAAGAAAGAAAAATCTTGTAAGTTCCTGTCCCAAAAGCAGGGGGCATACAGTCGTGGGGTGCGGTGGCGCAGTGGGGGAGGGGAGGGCAAGTCTAGGAGGAACAGCAAAGTAGGGCTAAGTCCAGGAGTTTTGCAAGTTAGATCATCTTTACCTGCACCTTCCCCACCCTCTTAATCTCTGTGCCAATAAAAAGCCCAATGGTGATTGTTGTTTGTCTTACTGGCCTTAGTTGAGTAAAGCCAGAGCTCTCAGGGAGGGAAGTGCCCTTCCTACTCTGTTCCAGCCAGGGTCAAAGTGCTGGCTGCATTGCTCTCTTCCTTAACTTCTGGCCTGATAAACACTTAGAACCCTAAAGTTCCTAATGGAGGACAAATCCCTTTCTTTGTCACCTCTACTCTGTGAACTTGCCTTTACCCGTGTCCATCAGGCTTTCCTACTTTTTTCCCTCGGCAATGTTAGTTTAGAGGCAAATAAAGGCCCAAAGGAAGTGTGGGATTCCAGACTGCTCAACTGTGGAGCATGCCTCTGGGTCAGGAATAAGAATATATTAATAATTGTACAGCGTCTTGAGTTCAGAGTGCCTTTTTTTTTGTCATTTATCAAGCACCTGTCATGGACCAAGTCCTTAACATAGTTATTTCAATGACATTTTATTTGTAAGTGCATCTGTCATCTTGTTCCAGAAAGGACTTAAGGTTAGATTATTTCATTGAATTCTCACAATAACTCTGTGACTCAGGGTTGATTAAGTCAGGCTCAGAGGGTTAAGTAACTTGCCTTGAGGTCACAAATTTTGTAAATAGAGCCACATCTTGAACCCAAGTTTGTCTGGTCTAAAGTATTGAACTCTTTCAGTTTTCCTGCCTCTCAGTACCTTAACACATTGGTTGTAGTTTCTTTTGGTTTTTTAAGCTTATTTATTTTGAGAGACAGAGAGAGCGGCGG